CCTCATGATAAAAGTCATAGACAATAGGACTAGAGTGAACATACTTCAACCTAATAAAGGACATATATGAGAAATCCACAGCCAAAATCATCGTAAGTGGAGGGATGTAAAACAATCTCATTAGAATCAGGAGTGAGGCAGGGCTGTCCTCTGTCCCTTCTTTTTAATATTAGGCTTGAAGCACTAACTGGGTGAAAAAGAAAAGAAAAGGAAACTAAGGGAATACAAACAGGAAAAAGGAAATAAATTTCTCCCTATTTACAGATGATATGATTTACAGAAGAGTTTCCAAAAATCCAACCAGGAAACTTCTAGAAATGGTCAACAATAATAGCCTCTCCCCAAAAAGAAAGAAAAAGAAAAGAAATAAATTCACTCCTCCATCTTTCCTGGCTCCCCATCATATATTGTTTTGTCATAGTGGCCTTGGGAGCTGCTGTGTGTCAAGCTGTAGACCCTTTTGTCCAAACAGCTTTCTTTGCAAAGTTCATTGCAATGATTTGTTGACCTGGTTCAAGGCCTCTGGCTTCTGCTACACCACCAGTACTGGGCCCTCACTGAAACTTCTCTCAGGTATCCTGCTGTTGCCCCAGTCACAACGCTCCTGTGGCTATGGTTCCTCAGGACTCCTCCCTTCAGGTGATCCACCAGGTCATAGATGGGGTAGATGCTGGGGTGGGCCAATTCAAAGCCCTGGACAAGGGCCTGGGTGGTAGCTGAGTTGGTCAGTTAGGGCCTCCACCAGGACTGCCCCCCCTCAGGCAATGGTCAGGGCCAGCTCTCCTTTGTCCATGCTACAGGAGCCAACTTTCTCTTTTCGGTGGCCTGTGGCAGGGAGGGGGCAGTTCTCCCAGGGTTGTCAAAGGTTGGGGCCAGCTTTCCTGTGCCCATGAAACTGGGACCAGTTCTGGAAGAGGGGTTGCTCTCCTGATGAGGCGGCCAGTGAGGGGCAGGACAAGTTCTTTAGTGCCCAGGTCACCAGGGCCAGCTCTCCCATGGCCCCCAGTGGTAACACAGTCATGGGCATCAACACAGAGCAGGTTATGGTAGGACCACAGACCCAGACATCACCATGGCCCTGGGTGGCTGCACAGGTCACTCAGATCGGTATGGACCCGGGCAACTGTGTGGACCTCAGACACCAACATGGCCTCAGGTGGCAGCCTAGACCTCAGGCATCTGCATGGCCTTTGGAAGTAACATGGGTCAGGGACATCAACACAGACCCCAGCTTGAGTAGGGCCATGGAACCAGACATGATCCTGGGTGGCATTACAGACCCAGACATCATATGCCCAGGTGGCAGAGTAATCCACTGCCTTCAGTTCCCCTTCTCTCCACAGTGCACAAACCACTAAGCTTCTCCTTCTCTCCAACTTCTCTACCACACATCTGTTCATCGTGGTGGCACCTGACCACCCAGGTGGGCACGTAGCTGTCTTCCTGCCCACCTGGGGCCAAGGGGCACCGGGAAGGCCTCTCTGTTTGCAAATATTTTATTGAAGATTTTTGAATTCATATTCTTCAGGGATATTGGCCTTAGGTTGTTTTTTTTTATTATTATTATTATTATTATTATTATTATTATTATTATTATTATTATTTGGTTTTATCTTTTCCTAGAATGGGTATTAGAGTAATACTGGCTTCATAAAAGGAATTTTTGGATGCTCCTTCTATTTCTGCTTTTTTGGATAATATAGTTATGTATTAGCTATGGATCTTCCAAGAAAGTCTGGTAGCGTTCTACTGTAAAGACATGTAGGCCTGGGATTCTTTTAGTCATAGACCTTCCATTACTGTTTCGGTCTCCTTGTGTTACAGGTCTGTTGAGATTGTTGATCATTTCTTGGTTTACCTTTGATGGTTTATCCATTTCTTTTAGATGTTACAACTTAATGGAGAACAAGTTTTTCTAGTATTTTCTTTTTCTTTTTGCATTTTCTTATAATACAATGAATTTCTCTGGAGTCTGTTGTAATGTTTCCCTATTTGTTTCTGATTGTCAATTTGGGTCTTTCTTTCTTTTTTTTCTTTTTGGTTTTTTGAGACAGGGTTTCTCTGTGTAGCTTTGTGCTTTTCCTGGATCTCGATCTGTAGACCAGACTGGCCTCGAACTCACAAAGATCTGTAGCATGAATCTTAAAGAGTCTTATTAATAAAATCAAACCTGGAGCAAGGTATTGGGGTGAATGCTGGAAGGTCAGAGAAGCACAACAAGCCACAGCTACCTCACCTTGCCAATTCCTCAGCCAATTCTGTTTCCTCAGACTGGAAACCTCTGAGTCCTCATCCAGAATGAACTGCTGCTCAAAAGCCTAGAAGCTTAACCAGCCAAAAGCTTCTAGTTTCTGGTCCTCATACCTTATATATCTTTCTGCTTTCTGCCATCACTCCCTGGGATTAAAGGCGTGTGTCATCATGCCTGGCTGTTTCCAATGTGGCCTTGAACTCACAGAGATCCAGAGGGATTTCTGCCTCTGGAATGCTAGGATTAAAGGCGTGTCCTACCACTGCCTATCCTCTATGTTTAATATTGTGGCTGTTCTCTTCTCTGACCCCAGATAAGTTTATTAGCATGCACAATATTTTGGGGAACACAATACCACTACAAAGATCTGCCTGGCTCTGCCTCCTGAGTGCTGGGATTAAAGGCGTGTGCCACCACCGCCCTAATATTAATTTATTTAATTTGTATGGATGTTTTGTCTGCATCTGTGTTAGTGCAGCAAGTGTTTGCCTGGTACCCTCACAGGCCAGGAGAGGGACGTTAAGTCCCCTGAGACTGGAGTTACAGATGGTTGCGAGCTGCCATGTGGGTGCTGGGAATCAAACCAGGTCCCCTGGAAGAGCAGCCCGTGCTCTTAACCACTGAGCCACACCTCCAGCACCCTATCTCTTTCTTTTTGTTAGGGCCAAAGTTCTATTGACTCTGTTTATTTTACTTAAGAACTAGCTCTTAGAATTGTTAATTCTTTATATTGGGGGGCAGGTTGAGACAGGGTTTCTCTATGTAGAATTGGCTGTCCTGGAACTTACTCTGTAGACCAAGCTGGCCTCGAACTCACAGAGATCTGCCTGCCTCTGCCTCCTGAGTGCTGGAATTAAAGGTGTGTGCCACCACCACCCAGCAATTCTTTGTATTTTTTGTTTCTATTTCATTAATTTCTGCATTAAAAAAACATAAGGTCTCACTATGTAACTCTAACTGGCCTAGAATCCTCAATGTGTACCAGGCTTTCCTCGAACTCACAGAGATCCGCCTGCCTCTGCCTTCCAAGTGCTAGGGTTATAGGTGTGTGCCACCATGCCTGCCTCTGCGCTGATTTCATTATTGGTCTTGCTGTCTACTAAATTTGGGTTTGATTTGTTCTTGTTTTTCAATTTTTTTGAGTGCATCATTAAGTCATTTATATTTGTTCTTTTTCTGGCTTATTTTTCTTTTCTTTTTTTTTATTTTTCTAGACAAGGTTTCTCTGTGTAGCCTTGACTGTTCTTGAACTTGTTCTGTAGACCAGGATGGCCTTGAACTCACAGAGATTCACTTGCCTCTGCCTCCCAAATACTGGGATTAAAGGCGTGCACCACCACCTCCTGGCTTTCTGTTTCTTAATCTAGGCACTTGGAGCTATGAATTTCCCTTGCAGGAGGTTTTCAATGTGTCCCAGAGGTTTTGTTGCATTTTGTTCCTATTTTCATTTAGTCCCAGGAATTGTTATTTCTTCATTTCTTTTTCAGCCCATTCACCGTTCAATAAAGAGTTGTTTAATCTCCATTGGGGTTTTTTACTTACTAGAGATTTGTCTGCTGTCTATTTTAAGTGTTACTGCATTATGGACATATAGGATGCATAGTTATTTCAAATTTTCTGAATTTGTTAACCTGTTTTGTCTTATAGCAGGTGTGCCTATCTTTTGATGTGTTTGAAGCAGACATTATGTTAAAATGCTTTATTTACAATGTATCTCTGTGACGTTCCTTGTCATATGTTGTGTGAAGTAAGCCTCTTTGCATTTTCCCCTAAAAAATCGGTGATGTGTCTGCACTGTTTAGCTGATTGACCCTTTGTCTTGTTGGTTAGCTATGGATGGTATTATCATCATGTCCTCAGATACAATGTGGTGTTGCTATTGTCTTGCTGTGTTCCATGCAACTTTTCAACATTTTGGTCCTTGTTTTTCTATTGCTGTGATAAAAAACTATGACAAGAAGCAACTTGGGAAGGAAAGGATTTATTTGGCTGACATATCCCAATTATAGTCTAAGGGAAGTCAGATCAGGAAGTTGAGGCAGGAACTAAAGCAGAGGCCATGGAGGAGTGTTGCTTACTGGCTTGCTCCCCATGGCTTGCTCAGCGTGCTTTCTTATATACCCCAGGGCCACACCAGGGTTGGCATCACTCACAATGAGCTGGGCCTCCCACATCAATCATTAACCAAGAAAGCGTCAGTTTGATGGAGGCATTTTCTCAGTTAAAGTTCCCTCTTCCCAGATGACTCTTGCTTTTATCAAGTTGAACAACCCCCTCCCCGACCCAAATAATTAGCACATTAGTTATAGACTTTATCCCTGTGATCACAGAGTAGGCCTTTATCCCAACTGGAAGTATTAGAGTATTCATTTGTTCCAAAGTAAGCCAGTTAGATCTCATCATAGAGGGCTTTGAGTGGTTTTAATAGATCAAGTTTATGTTGTTTCTTCCCAGAGTTGTGTCAAGAAAATCCCTTTGTACTTCAGTCTATTCAAAGTCAGCTCTTCACACACACAGTACATTTGCAAAGGATATGGTGATTTTAAATGCCACAAAGAAAAATGAAAATAGGAAAAGTTATCAGAAGGATGGTTTGATCTTGGGGGAAAGAAATGGACCTCAGTGAAAATGGCTTCACTGAAGGATGAGGAAAAGTGGGTAACCTCAACCCATTAGTAGTAGGTGATTTCAAAAGGAATTTATTCATATCAAATTTTACTCATATGAAAGCACAACACAAAGAAAAATAATTGTTTCAATTAGTACAATAGCTTTATTTCCAATGCTGAGAGTTTAGGAATTTACAGAAATGAAAACCAATAAGCTGCTCATTCTACATTTTTGCTACCTAGACTCTCCCTCCACTCTTCTCTGGGCTCACCTGCAGTTGCATCTGGCTGAGTTCTTCAAAATAAGGTACTAGCAATTTGGTGCCATAATTTTTGTAGTAACAGTATCTCCTCAATGACATTAGCTTGAACCGGGATATGCTAATTCAGTTTACATTCTTGTCAGAATGAAAATGGCTACCTGTAGGCACTAGTCTAGGTGTGTTTCAATATCCCTTGTTCCTGGACCACATTACTAGAGTTAGTCTACCATTAATATCTTTTTTATTTGAGGCATTCTATTTTCCACCAAAAAGACCTGTGGCTTTAAAAAGCATCCATCCGTGCATCAAATGATGAAAAGAGATTTTCCCAAAAACCACTGTACGGAATGTTAGCACTTGGAAAAGTGACCTCAGTTATTAGCTGGAATGCCTTCAACTCTAAGTATCAGACAGACCTAATAATAAACAAGTAACAGGTACTGTTGAAAATCATACAAAGTCCCAGAAGAAAGTAGTGTAGAGGGCTAAACAGCTCAGCGACATCATATCGGGTCAGCTTTTTACGGTGTGTGCACTGCCATCCTTGGGTCACTGCCCTTCCAGACCAGACTATATGCCAGCGTCATATACAGCTGTAAATAAATGCATCCAAAAGGTATGATCTCTTTTCATGTCTCTTATACCGTCTCATTTTATGACTTCATCACCGAGATCTATTCCAGTATTACATAGCATTCTCTAACTTCAACAAAATTGTCAAAATGGAGTTGTCATGATTAGCTCTGACTAATCTGGATTTATTCCCCAAACCATCTGGGGAGGAGGAAAAAGAAATAAAACTCAGCTCAGCAAAGAAGGTGAGTAGCAGCTCTTAAACTACTGATCAATGTGTTTCCAGGAGGTATTGGGAATAGAACAAAGGAGGTAGAGACACTATACAGAAGTCTATAGTTCTAAATACAAGTATATAGTTACTGAATTACACAGAACTATGGGTACATGCCTCAATAGTTACACACTGAATATATCAAGGGTATAAAATGAGCATTTTATTATACACTATCATATTTTTTAGAGTGCAGCATTACCATTGACAACTCATGTTAAGTCATGTAAATACCATTTTTAATTAACAGCATTTATACAATCGACACAGAGGTAGCTAAGAAAAACCCTTAGAAATATGTATGATTTCTTCACCAATTGGGTAGTTTGGTAATAATGGCCATACTTATTTATGGTCCAGAATAGTGAAAAGTATGTGATAATGTTTTTTTTTGTGTGTGTGTGTATGTGTGTGTGTGTGTGTGTGTGTGTGTGTGTGTGTGTGAGAGAGAGAGAGAGAGAGAGAGAGAGAGACAGAGACAGAGAGAGAGAGAGAGAGAGAGAGAGAGAGAGAGAGAGAGAGAGAGAATGACATTTGAAATACATACTGACCAATCTATCAAGAAAATGGAAATATTTAGAACTGGACAATTCTGAGGTAATTAAAAGGCTCAATAAACCATCTTGTGGTTTCTTTACTATAGAGGCAGTTTGGTAATGATGGACATAGCCACTTATTTGTTTTAGGAAATGGAAAGATGGCTGGCTTATACTTTAAATCTGCCTTAGAGTTTATATACACACAGCTTCTCTGAGAAGGTCAATGCCCTGACACACGCTCTGCCAGTTTCCCCAGTGTAAATGTTCTAAGGCCAAGCTACCACCATGAGAGTGGGATGGATGTGGTGGAGTCCGGGAGAGATGAGCAGTGGTACCCATTCTACAGCGCTCTCAGCATGAAGGCCAATGGTAGCAGCAAAGATAACAGTGAAAGACAGCAAATTACTAGGAAAGGTGAGTGCTATTTATTTCCTTTGCTCTCAATACAATTTACCTGTAACTTCACTAATTTTAAACAATGTATTCACAAAATTCCTGAAATTTTAACAATTATCAGCACTTTTAAGTTGGTGTGAGCTGCCCTTATGACATCACCATTCGTGTATAGGTACATGCATATAAACATATTTACATATGCAAACATATAGACCCACATTCACACATATGTCCATAAACATACATAATCTTATCAACCTACAAAGACACTGGTGGTACTTAGTATATGGAAAGTATACTATTATAGTTATTACACTAAGGGTTCATATTTTTTCCTCACATCCTTACTGGGTTCCAATACATAAATCAAGCACTTCCTAATTTACATAAATGTTACATTAGCATACTCACACAAGGTCTATAAACATCAGATGTTCTTTACATATATGTTTAATGTTATTGTCACTCACTTTTAAGTTTCATACACTCTTATGAATACAAGTAAAATTAATATTACCCATTATATTTAAAATACATTTTGAAACACATTTGGAAGACACTACACAATTTAAACTCTATAGATTTTTTAACCATATTGTTTATATGAATGATTTCCCTTCAATACAATCTTTCTAATGAAAGTTTTTATTTTCTTAAAAGCTTTCATATATTTCAACAAAATGGCATTTTCTGGTACTCTGTGGCATTCTTTGGCAGTCTCGAAGCTCATTTTAAAAACTATACAACCGACTTGACAGGCATAAGCAAGGTGGACATTCAGGATGCTGAAAGAGCCTTCATCCTCGTGTGAATTCTCTGATGCTTGGTGAGCACTGACCTCTGACTGAAGGTCTTCCCACACACATTACACTCATAGGGCTTCTCCCCTGTGTGAGTCCTCTGGTGTTTGGTAAGAGCTGATTTTTCACAGAACATTTTCCCACATTCATTACATTTGTAGGGTTTCTCCCCTGTGTGCGTTCTTTGATGTACAATCAGGTTTGACTTCACACAAAATGACTTCCCACACTCATTGCATATAAATGGTTTCTCCCCTGTATGTGTTCTCTGATGGACAGTGAGGGCTGACCTGTGGCAGAAGGATTTCCGACACGCATTACACTCATAGGGCCTCTCCCCTGTGTGTGTTCTTTGATGCTCAGTAAGGTTTGACTTGACGCAGAATGTTTTCCCACACTGCTTACATTCATAGGGTTTTTCTCCCGTATGTGTTCGCTGGTGGTTGGTAAGGTGTGGTTTTTGGCAAAAGGCTTTCCCACATTCAGTACATTCATATGGTTTCTCTCCTGTGTGTGTTCTCTGGTGTTGGGTAAGGTTTGATTTCTCCCAAAACATTTTACCACACTCACCACATTCAAAGGTTTTTTCTCCCAAGTGAGCTCTTCGAGACTGGGTGGGATGTGATTTCTTGCTGAAAATTTTCCCATTTTCATGGTATTCATAGGGTTTTCCCCCCATCTGTACTATCTGATGTCTAAAGAGAGCTGACTTTCCCCAAGTTTTGCTACTCACTTTGTACTCTGGGGCAATCTTTCTTGGGTAAGCTTCCTGATGAACAATGTGAGCTGAACCATCACGGAAGATTTCCTCATATTCATTACGCTCACAAGGATTGTTTCTCGGAAGAAGAGCTCTCTGATGTCCAAACTGTAGATCCACATAAAAGGACTTTCTACAAATACTGCATTCATGTGGCTCCATATGCAAATGAGGTTTCGGAGACACACTGAGCTTCAGACCATCAACGAAAGTTCTTCCACATTCAGTGTGTTTATAAAGCATCTCCCCTAGCTGAGAGTGCTGATTCGTACAAAGGGCCACTTCCTCACTGAAGCCTTGTCCATCTTCATTGTACTCAAAAGGCTGATCAGAAACCGACTGAGTGAGAGCCTGGCAAAGGCTGAGGCCATTTGGTTTCTCATTATATTTATAGGATTTTGCTCCTACAGGAATTTTCTCATGCCTATTATTAGGGAGTGATTTCTCCCCTACATTAAACTCATTCAGCTTCTTTCTGGAATAGTTCTTTTTACTAATAATTACACCTGAAATATTCTTTAAATTCATTTCACATGAGTCACATATTTTGAGCAGAAAACTTTTTGAAGAAACAGGGTCCATTTCTAGACTGGAAGTTTTTCTTGTGGTACCACCACCTTCTACGTGTATGATCTTGTTGGTGAGCATGAACGGCCAAAAATGTTCATCTTGATTTTCCTGGCTGCTCTCTAATAGGTCATCCACTTTCCATTTCCTTTCTACAAATGAGAAAAAAATCACCACACCTTATGAATCTTAATACTTGTCTTTCTTTTTTAAGCAAGGTTTTTGCTAGGGGTGAGAAAACACACAGAGGAAAAGTCCCTCCACAAAGCAGAGGAGGGACTTGGGAAGCTGAAATATCTTAACACATTTCTGATGGATGTGTGGACTTTAACAGAAATTTTCTACTCTATGGTTAAGTGCTTTGTTTTAGATTCAGTTTCCTGGGACTGGAGAGATGACTCAGTGGTTAAGAACACTGGCTGCTCTTCTAGAGAACCTGGGTTCAATTCCCAGCATCCGCATGGCAGCTCACACCTGTCTATAACTCCAAGATCTGATACTCTCACACAACTATACATGCAGGCAAAATAACAATGCACATAAAATAAAAATAAATTATTTTTTAAAAAAGTAGATTATTTCCTGGTAAAAATTGAATCCAACATATTTTCTTTAGCATCCAGGTTTGAGGATAAAAAACAAATATGCTGCTGTGGAAGCAGGGATGGGGAACTGGTTATAATATTTAAAACACTATAAATATAAACTTCAAAACCAGACACAAAAAGGTTGGAGTAAAATGCAATTCATAGGAAACTAGAGTGGCTGATTCAGAAGTCACACTATTGAAAAGGTGAGCCCAACAAACAATGAAAACAAGCAAAGTGGCAGCAAAGACCAGCAGCCAAGGGCTTTTAGAGGGTGAACTGCACTGGGTGGGAACGAGACACAGTGAGCCTGATGCCTCACACAGCGCTGGAGGAGGTCCCCATTAGACGCCAAACAAATGAGAGTTCTAGAAACACCCACTACTTCAGGTCCGAAAGGACAGTCTGAAAGTCCAGGTTCTAGAGGTTCTGTTCTTCCCCTCTATTTACAGGAACAGTTTTCTGAAATGCTGTGGGAAAGCATGCTGGAAAAGGTGAAATAAACTCCAAACATGCTGTAATACTAGCAGGTGGAAGTTATCTGAGCTGTTATCCAAGGAACAGAAAATTCACCCAGGAGCAGTTGAACAGTTTTTAAATACGCAGACTATCTGAGAACTGTAACAAAGGAAGAAGCAGGTTTGGCAGAGTCCAACCGTGGTTGACCCCAAGCTCTTCCTATATTCTGCCTCATATGCCATCTGTTCACATCCTGGTTACTGTGAAGCCCTCAGTGTACGTATTTTTCTATACTGTGTGTTTAAGCCTGTCTTTATTTCTAGGTGTTTCATTTACACATAGGTTTTCTGCTTTAACATCTAACATCACTTGTGTTTTATATTTATATGTGGGACCCCTAACAATCATATTTCTGTATCTTTCACTGAGACTTTCAGTACACTTTATCACAAAAATCTTGGCTATCCTTAACTGTTGGTACTCAATGCAAGAATGTTAATCATATGCTTAATTAAAAAAAAAAAAAACTATGGCAGTCTACTGTCCTAAAGACCAACAATTAAAGTTGTGATCCTAGCAAAATAATCCAAAACAAAATAAGCAAACAAATAAAACCTTATATCAATTGATCCACACTTAATGTTTAAATCTATATTAAATATACCCATTAAAAATCTGTATATAGAGGGATGAAAAAAACCTCTCTGCAATGTTCCTTCCTCAACCAGGCACATTTCAGCCGTGGTTCTCTTGAGAACCTACACATCCTTCAATAAAATGCTACCTTAATTGAAAAATGATGAAAAACAATTAAGAGAATGAAAACCAAACTCTCCTACAACATCCACACCACCTTCAGACTCCACTTGCTCTATCCATTACACGTAGTGTCCACATGACTCACTGTAACATGAAATAAGTCCTCTGCTTGATGCTGCATCTCTTGCCAGAACCTGAGCCTGGCTCTTGGCAGCCATTACTAGTCTGTTTCCTTTGCATCCTCTGAGGAAATGTCAAGAAGTGATTCTAGACAGCAATGTAAGCATGGATTATCCTTGACTTCTCCCTGATGAGTTAGAATATACAGGAGACTGTGGGAATGTATACTAAGCACAGGTAGGAAACTTGCTGCAGAACACTTCCTAACTGTACCAAGAGGATGACTCCTCTGAAGCCTGGATCCATAGCTAATCTGACCAGCAGCATCCAATAGACCAGAAGAGGACAACTAAGAGATCCTTCTTTTTGGAAGAAAATCTCAGTGGGAAAGAAATCCTATGCAACCTGGATGATCAGATCTGAGTTCTGGGCCTATAGCCACTGGACGGCTGTAGAAATAAAATATATGCTAGTAACAGCAAAAATGTGCTCCGACGTAATGGATATAGTAAGCACACAATGTCTAAACACCTCACAGATACAGTATTACTTATTTGAAAAAATATTAAAAGGAAATGAAAATTTAGACAAAGGAGAGACGACAGACATACTTCAGGTACAGAAAAGTGTGCTGGCTGGTTTTCTGTCAACTTGACAGAGCAATAGTCATCTGAGGGGAGGGAAACTCAATTGAGAAATTGCCTCCATAAGGTCCCACTGTAGGCAAGCCTGTAGGGCATTTGCTAATTACTGATGGGGGAGGGCCCAGCCCATTGCGGCTGGTGCCACCCCTGGGCTGGTGGTCCTGGGTGCTGTAAGAAAGCAGGATGAGCAAGCCAGTAAGCAGCATTCCTCCATGGTCTCTACATCGGCTCCTGCCTCCAGGTTCCCACCTGTTCTGAGTTCCCACCTTGGCTTCCCTTAGTGGACTACAGCAGGAATTACACCAGGGTAAGAAAGAAACTGACATAAGGGCTTTTTGTGTGTGCTCAGTGAAAAGAATCATGATTCAAGATACATACGCCAAATAAACCCTTTCCTCCCCAAGTTGCTTTTGGTCATGATGTTTTATCACAGCAACAGAAACCCTAACTAAGATAGAAATTATGAGGCTTAGTATAAATTTTAGAGAACAAAAAGAAATATAAGGCAGGTAGAACAGAATCATGTAATAGTTGGAATACGTTATTTCTATGGTCTACCATCAGGCTAGTGAAGAAAAAAAAAACAACGAACCGGATGCTTCATGTGAAAAGGGGTGGGGCAACAACAGCCGAGCATGGTGGCACACACCTTTGATCCCAGCACTCATGAGCACTGTGAGTTCAACACCAGCCTGGTCTACAGAGTGAGTTCCAGGACAGCTAGGGCTGTAACACAGAGGAACCCTGTCTTGAAAATACAAAAAGAAATAAAAGGAGAGGAAGAGGGAGGAGGAGGAGGAGGAGGAGGAGGAGGAGGAGGAGGAGGAGGAGAAGGAGGAGAAGGAGAAGAAGAATGGGGCTGGAAACTATGGCATGAGGCACTTCCTTACAACTGAAGTATCTTTTATGTTTTAAAGGGGAAACAGAGGAAGCACTATGGATGGGGGCGGAGGCAAGAGGGGCATAAAGACCAAACAGAAAGAGAGAAGAGCAGTAGCAGCAGCCGCAGCCAGGATGCACCGAAGATGTTCACTGGTCTTTTAAAAGGACATCTACCTATCTCGGCTCCACATTTCATCTAACCACACACCATAATACCAATTAAAACTGATGCCTTCAAATAGATACATCTAGTTCCAGCCTCAGGAAGGCATTCCACCCTTGGATATCTCCAACCTTAAAGTGAACTCCAGGCCAGATTTGAACAGTTACCTCCAACTTTTTCCATTTAAAACTGAATCTGTAACAATCCTTTCTCAATCATGTTTGTTCTGTGTTTTCTCTATCTCAGTAAGTGGCTTCCTAACTTGTCCAGTTGCTTGAGATAAAAAATTCAAGTCATGTTTGACTCTCTTGTACTCTTTCTCCAACAGCAATCTCGTGGCTCTATCTTCAAGATACCCATACAAACCCAGCACTTCTCAGCGCCTCTGAGATGGTCTTGGCCACGACCCTTTCTTCTGGAGTACACAGGAGTTTCTTAGCTGGTGTCCCTTCCTAGCTCATGTCCACCCACTAAACACATCCCCACAACTACTGCACAAGCTAGACAAATCCTCTGAAGCCGAAAATAAGTCTGATGATTCAGTCTGATCTAGATTAACTCAAAACAGCATTTCTTGCATCCCTCAGGATAAAATTACTGTATCTTCCATGAGCCATGGGGATACTACTCACAACACCATTCCACCTGTCTTTCCCATATACCTTACTTTCCAGCCACGATGGTCTGTCCACTACTGTTCAAACAGAACAAACCTGTCCTAGAGGCCTGGAACCTCAATTCTCTCTGTCTACAATACTTTTAGTCCAGATGGTTCATTCTTTTTTTTTTTTTTTTTTTTTTTTTTTTTTTTTTTTTTTTTTGGTTTTCAAGACAGGGTTTCTCTGTGTAGTTTTGCGCCTTTCCTGGAACTCACTTTGTAGACCAGGCTGGCCTCGAACTCACAGAGATCCGCCTGCCTCTGCCTCCCGAGTGCTTACCGCCCGGCAAGTCAGATGGTTCATTCTTACTCCCTAAAAGTATTAGATGTAACACAGGCCTCATTTAAGTTTTCTCTGACCTCTGTGCCAAATAGCATAACATCGTCATACTTTAGTCTCCCTTCCGGTGTGTGGGCTCTCCTTATCATACTTACCACCAACCGATACCTGTGTGTGCATACACAAATATGTGTAAGTACTCAAGTGTGTATGAAAATAAATAATTGTATCTACATGATTTTGCTCTTCACTGTAGTATATATTCTATAATATCTGCTACATTATTTTCTCAGTTACCTAGAACATGACTGTACCACAGTGAATGTTCACCATTATATATCTGTTAAGTGGAATATATGGAAGTACATGGGTATCTGCTAATGAAAGGCATCCAAAGAAAATAGAGAGAAGGTGCATAATTTGTAAAGATAAAGAGAAATTAACCAAGAAAAAAAATCCAAGATGAAGTCAACTGACTTTGGATTTATGGTAAAAATAAAACACACTAAAATGTCCAAGCAAAAGAAAAAGTATTGGGCTGGAGAGATAGCTCAGAGGTTAAGAGCACTGGCTGCTCTTCCAGAGGTCCTGAGTTCAAGTCCCAGCAACCACATGGTGGCTCACAACCATCTGTAATGAGATCTGGTGCCCTCTTCTGGCTTGAGACATACATGCAGACAGAACACTGTATACATAATAAATAAAATAAAAAAAAAAGAAAGAAAGAAAAGAAAAAGTGTTTATGAACAAGAGACAGACGGAGGAATCATTAAGGCAACAGGATGTGGGAAGCTGTCCTTGGTCATTTCCAGAGGTCTGGAGTAAAATAGAACATTTCTGAAAAAACATTCCAGAGGTAATTGTGGTAGTTTGAACAGGATGGCCCCCATAGGCTCATAGAGTTTCATGTCTGGTCACCAGAGAGTGGCACTACTTGAGAGGAATTAGGAGGTGTGTCCTTGTTGGAGGAAGTGTTGTCACTGGGGAGTGGGCTTTGAGGTTTCAGAATCTCAAGCCAGGCCTAATGGCTCACTGTCTCTTCCTGCTACCTGTGAATCCAGATGCATACTCTCAGCTACCTCTCCAGCACCATGTCTGCCTGTATGCCACTATACTTCCCACCATGATGACGATGAACTAAACCTCTGAACTGTAAGCCAGCCTCAATCTTTTCCTTTGTAAGAGTTGCTGTGGTCATGGTGTCTCTTCACAGCAATAGAAACCCTAAGGCAGTAACCTACCTTACCCAATGATACAAGGCTACTTTCTCTTGCCAGTGAACTCACTACTGTACCTGGGTGGCATTGGAATCTGTTTTCTGGTATCCAGGGATCTTCGCCTTGCTCTATCTTGAAGATCACATCTGGCTTAGTCACACAATGCCCTGTTAAGACAAAATAACCCAGGCTGGGTGCTCAATAGCTTAGCTTTGTGAACTGAAAAAAATGAAGGAAAATAAAGGTACAGCTTCAGCTAGGGTTCAGGAAGGCCCTCAATATCCTGCAGAGAGGTGAGAATACGCCATTGTCACAGCAAAGAGAGATAGATCATCTCAGACCCTAAAGCCTTAAGACTCCTAAGCTTCAAATTGGACATTACAAACATTCCCTCCCAATCTTGGAAATGTGTGTGACTGGTAGCCACTGAGGAAAAACCCTTACCTACTGAGACAAAGTTGCTATAGTTCTCCAGGATCACATCTCTGTAAAGCACTTTCTGAGCAGGGTCCAGCAAATACCACTCTTCCTTGGTGAAATCCACACACACATCCTTGAATGACACGTTTTCCTGTAACAAAAGACTCTTTTCTTGTATGAGGTCATCAGGACTGGGCAACATAGAGAAGATTTAGCAGACCGAGTTTCTTTAGAGTTTACTGAAAAATAATGAACAGCATTACCCCCCCCTTTATTGCTACACTATGCAGAATAAAAGAAAATAGCTTATACAAACTGAGATTCTGCTAAAGTCTAGGAGTGTTTTAGTTGCTATGAATATGCTGAGGCAAGCAAAAAACACAGTTCCTATTTTCAAAGTGCCTATATGACCTGGTAAGAACACATAAATGTACATTTATTAAATGGACATTGCAAACCTGGGAGTAGGTTTCACTTTTTATTAGAAAGTAAAACTTGAAATGGTCAAATAAACAATGATAGTGATAAACAAGGGACAGGCTCCCACTAAAAAAAGTCCATGGCGATTAAAGTGCTTGCCCTGCAGTCTAACCCCACAGGACAGGATCAATCCTCTCTGCCTCCTGAGGACATCATTTTCTAGAGTCTCATGGACATTTTTTAAAGCACAGTAGTTTTATTAAATATAGTATACAGTTTCATGGTATTTGAACCAATAGTGAACAAGGAGTAAAATAAGCAATATAAGCAGACCCATGGTGACTCAGTTACTGAAACGATTAAATATAAACTTCAAAATAAATTGTGGCTAATATGTTCAATAAAACAGGAAATTCAGAAAAAAATAATGAAAGGATGGGAGAACTCAACAGATACATGAAGGGTGTGATATGTGTGTGTTGTTGGAAAAGGTTAAGATAGCAGACCAAAGGCTATTGTCCTCTGAATAGTTTTCTACTCCTTTTCCTGGTTCTTTACCCACTCACACAAGTGATTATAGATTAGTACACAAAACACTATTATTATATTCTCTAAAGCTGCTACTCAGAGGTGATGATTACAAAGATGGTGGTTAGCTCTGTTTCCACAGTGTAATCACCCCTGAATGGTGACTGGACTGTGAACAATCCCCTGGGGATGGCTAGGAACAGATCCCGCAGGCTGCAACTTCACTTGAATGACGATGTCTTCTGCTGTACAGTTTCACGAGGTCCCATTTATCAGCTTTTGGTTGACTATGCTATCAGAACACTATTCAGAAAGCCTCACCTGTGCCTGTTAGTTGAAAAGTACTACCTTTTTCCTCTAATAGGTTCTGGGTATCAATTCTTAGGTTGAGGTCCTGTAACCATTTTTTTATTTTGGACTTTTATTAGAAGTGAGAGGGAAGGATGTTGTTTCATTCTTTGACATGCAGCTATTCAATGAGACCACTACTTGTTGAGAGGCTGTCTTCTCCAATATGTATTTTGGGCCTCTTTTTCAAAATTCACATGGATGTAAGTTTATGAGGTTTATCTGGGTCCTCAATTCCATTCCATTAATCAATGTGTTTATTTTAAAGACACCATTATATGACTTTTACTACTACAGCTCTATAGTATAACTTAAAACTGGTGATTCCTCTGGCAGTGTATTTTATTGTTTGGGGGAATGTGGGTTGTCCTGGGTCTTCTGTTTTTGATATGAATTTTGAAAGTTTTTTTTTCAATTTCTGTGAAGAATTGTGTTGAGATTTTTCATGGGGACTGTACTGGATCTGTAGATTGCTTTGAGTAGGGTGGCCAGTTCACAATATTAATACTATCAGTATACGAAAATGGGAGGTCTTCCCACCTTCCTGAATTGTGGTGATATATTGTGTACCCCAATAAAACTTATGTGGGGATCAGAGGGCAGAGCTAGCCACTAGATTAGACAAAGAGACCGGACAGTGATGGCACACACCCTTAATCCTATCACTCAGGAGACAGAGATCTCTGGGAGTTCAAGACCATAATGGAACAGAGCCAGGCGTGGTGGCACACACCTTTAATCTCAGCATTTGAGATCTCATGCCTTTGCTTGGGACGCATACACACCTTTAATCCCAGGAAATAGAATGGCAGGGCAGAAAAGGGTATAAAAGGTGTGAGGAAACAGGAACTCACTCTCTTGAGGCTGAGGATTTCGTAGAGGTAAGAGCATGGCTGGCTTATTCTGTTTCTCTGATCTTTCAGCTTTCACCCCAATAATTGGCTCCAGGTTTTTTGTTATAAAACCTTTTACGATTCATGTTACACTGCATCTGCACTAATTTCTTTCTTCAATATCTTAAAGTTTTCATTGTACAGGTCTTTCAATTCCTTAGATCTTTTTAAAAAGGTGGCATGTAAGAAGGCTCCTGACTTTTTGTGTGTTACATTGTATCCTGATACTCTGCTGGGTTTATCAGCTTTAGGAGACTTCTGGCAGAGTCTTTACCTTCTCTTATGTATAGAATTGTATCATCTGCAAATATTGGTACTTTTGAGTTTGTCCTTTCCTATTTGTATACTCTTGTCTCCTCCTGGTGTCTTGCTGCTCTTGGTGAGACTTCAAGTGCTATGTTGGACAGGAGTGGATAATCTTAACCTTAAGTAGATATGCTTCAAAGTTTTCTCCATTCAGTATGATAGCTCTGGGCTTACTGCACTGTCTTTACATTAGCATATGTCCCCTGTATCCTTAGATTCTCCAGGACTTTTATCATGAAAGGATGTTGGATTTTATCATAGGCTTTTTCTGCACCTAATGAGATGACCATGTGGTTTCTGCCCTTGAAACTATTTATGTGGTAGATTATACTTATTGATTTACACATGTTGAACTATCCCTCTATCATTGAGATGAAGCCTACTTGATCACGGTAGATGATCTTTTTAAAATGTTCTTGAATTTGATTTGTAAGTTCTTTATTGAAAGCTCTTTTATGTCTGCGTTCATCAGATTGGTCCTATAATTCTCTTTGTTGGGTCTTTGCATGGTTTTGGTATCACAACAATGCTGGCTTCACAAAAAGAATTTGGGCAAAGCATGGTGGTGCACAACTTTAATCACAGATTAAAGAATAGAGGCAGGTGGGTCTCTGTGAGTTTGAGTTCAGCCTGGTCTACATAGTGAATTTCATGACAGCAAGGATAACACAGTGAGACCTTACCTTAAAATAATAATAATAATAATAATAGAAGGATTCCATCCTTTTTATTTTGTGGAATAATTTGACATTAATTTTCTTCTTTGAAAATCTGTCAGAACTCTGTTCTGAACCTATCTGATCCTGTTTTCAGTTGGAGATTTTAAATTAATACTTCTACCTTATTGGTTCTTAGGGTCTATTATTATTTATCTCATTCTGATTGAACTTTAGTGGATTATACACATTTAGAAATTCATCTGTTCCTTTTGGATTTTCAAGTTTAGTGGAATATAAGTTTTTAAAGTATATTCTTAATGAATCTCTTAATTTCCTCAGTATTTCTTTTAATGTCTCCCCTTTCATCTGTAATTTTATTAATGAATCTTTTCTTGTGGAGGGGGAATTTAATTTGTTTAATGGCTTATCTGTGGGAGGCAGCTCCCACAATTTAAAAGGGTTCCTATGAGGAGGAGAGAAGGATAAGAAACTTTTAGATAGAAAGATAGAGAAGAGGAGACAGAAACACAGGATAGCTTTGGGAAGATCTGGATCAAAACCCAACAGCCCTTCTGCCTCTTCAAAAGGGCTTTTTATAACAATGCCAACGGCTGGGGCAAAAGACCTCCCCCTTGCTAGATCAAAGCACACTGCACAGCCAAGTGTAGACCCTTCCAAACACCTGGTAACCATGCCCATGCTCATCCCTTTATGCAGCCCTACTAGGTAAAGCAAGCTCAGATTCTCGGACCCTGAGTAAGTTCTCACTAGGAAACCTCTGTGGGTATCTACCCTTGTCAATCATCAATTCTTTTTCAAAGAATCAACTCTTTATTTTCTGTTTATTTGTAATTTTGTTTCTATTTTATTAATTTCAGCCCTGGTTATGATTACCTCTTTCCTTCTAGTGTTTTGGGATGTTGTCTATTCTTATTTTTTCCAAGGTTTGTAGGTGTATCATCAAGTTATTTAGATCTCTCAAATGTAATGATGTAGTCACAAAGAGCTAAAGACTTTCTTCTTAGGATTACCTCCACTGTGTTCCATAGATTTTAGTATGTTATTTTCATTTTCACTCAATTTTAAGATTTTTAAATTTTCCTTGTAGCTAGAGTTTTCCTGCCTGGCCCACAGTCAGGACAAATCTCTGTCACTCGCCAGTCCCACAGCTGCTCAGACCCAACCAAGTAAACACAGAGTCTTATATTGCTTACAAACTGTATGGCCGTGCCAGGCTTCTTGCTAACTGTTCTTATATCTTAAATTAATCCATTTCTATAAACCTATACCTTGCCACGTGGCTCGTGGCTTACCTGCATCTTCACATGCTGCTTGTCATGGCAGCGGCAGCGGCTGGCAGTGTCTCCCCACACCTTCCTGTTCTCTCAATTCTCCTCTCTGTTAGTCCCGCCTATACTTCCTGTCTGGCTACTGGCCAATCAGTGTTTTATTTATTGACCAATCAGCAACACATTTGACATACAGACCATCCCACAGCATTTCCTTGTTTCTTCCTTGATTCTATTACCATAAAATTCTGTGTTTAGTCTCTGTGAGTTTGTATATTTCCCTTACTTTCTGTCCTAGTTAGAAATCTTATTGCTATGATGAAACAACATGACCAAAAGCAAGCCGGCTTACACTTCCACAACATAGTCTATCACTGAAGGAAGTCATTAAAGTCAAACAGGGTTGAAACCTGGAGGCAGGAGTTGATGCAGAGGCCATGGAAGGATGCTGCTTACTGGCTTGCTCCCCATGGCTTGCTCAGCTTGCTTTCTTATAAAACCCAGGACCACCAGCCCAGAACCTCCCCTATCAATCACTAATTAGGAAAACTGCCCACAGCCAGATTTTTGTGGAAGCATTTTCTCAATTTGAGGTTCCCTCCTTTCAGATGACTTTAGTTTGTGTCAAGCTGACATAAAACTAGTCAGCACTTTCTTTTGCTATCTAGCCCATTCCATTGTGGCCAGATAGAATACAGATGTCCTTTT